TTATGACAATGGTGAAGGGAAGCGTGCAAGTGTAGTCTTGTCTTACAAGATTCTTGGTTGTTGGTATGAAAAGAATCTTACAGTCATTGATTGATAGAGTGTAGTCTTAAAAATATGATCACATATTTATTTTTTTCTTTATTATAAAGATATGATCACATATTTTTTTTCCTTTATTACAAGTATGAAGCGTATAATGTAGTCTTAAAGATATGAAGATGTGTTAAGTTGTTTGGATAACAATTTTAGAAAACAAGATGACAAGGATATTTATTAGTAAGAAAGCGTGTAAATCAATATCCTGCGAGACTAATAGTGTAGCCATGTGTAGACATTTATTAGTAAGAATCTTGTAGGTATGTAGAGTGTAGTCATGCAAAGTGTAGTCTTGTCGGCACACAGAGTGTAGGCACGCAGAGTGTAGCTATGCAGAGTGTAGTCTTGTCGTACAGAGAATCTTGTAGGCACGCAGAGACATGTGATGTGTGCAGATTTAATAATAAAAAAACAACACTATATTATTATTAATACAATAGAGATAGTTGATTTATTAGCATATCAATTAGTAAAACAATCCTTTCAAACACGAGTTTAGTAACATTTTAGTTATGGCTCAAACACCACAATACATGATCAATGCACATTTAAGCGGTGATGTTTTTGAATGTAACTCAGCCGGTTTCAATTTTCAAAATACTGATGTTACTAGGCTTTTGATTGACAGATGATCAAATTTTTTACACTTGAAGTCGGGATTAGAAAATAAGTTACAGTGTGGTCCAGTTGGCCAAATAATCTACACGAATACTGTGTTTTTTGGCGGGCACGAGCAATGCAAAATTTTCCAATTAAAGATTCGAGACGATGAAGATGCGCGTAACATGTTTCGCAGTCATGAGTATTCCACTTTCTCAGATATTGAGCTATATGTTATGTTACAACAATAACAATTGTCTCAACAACTTGATTCTTCTCAAGTTTTTTATGAATCTGATGACGAACACGCTGAAGTCGGTGCCATTGATGAAGAAGAAGAAGCAGCTGAAGTCATTGTTGACGACATGGTAAACAACGAAGAAGAGGGAGTGCCACCCAGTCATGTTTATTGCCCACCTCAACACATGAAAGTCTCGACTTAGGTGACGATGAACCCTCAACAGATATTTTTTACAATCCAAACTATCCAACAGAAGGACTATTAAAAGAGGGAGACAACTTTCGTACAAAAGAAGATTGTGTCCGAGCAATAAAACAGTATCACACGAACTTATCAGCAGATTATAGAGTCAATCGAATAAATCTGACTCTGTATAAGATCTATTGTCGTAACGAGGTGTGCCCATTTCGATTAACAGCGTCTTTCCAGAAGAGAAGTGATTCATGGAAGATAGGGTCAATGGGTCCAGCGCACACTTGTATAATCACGAATCTGATGCAGGACCATCGCAAGCTTATCTCTCAATTGATTTGCGATGAAATTCTATCGGTCATTAGCGACAACCCTTCTTTGAAGGTGTGTACCATAATTTCACATATGGTTTAGAGATACAATTACACTCTTTTGTATAGGAAAGCATGGATAGCTAGGACTAAAGCGGTTGAAACAATGTTTGGAAATTGGGAGGAGTCTTACAAAGAACTTCCAAAATTCTTGGTGGCACTTAAACAATATTCTCCAGGGACTGTTGCCATCTTGGAGACGATGCCGGTGTATACACCAGACGAGACTTGCGTTAGTGGAAATGATATTTTTTAAAGACTCTTATGGGTGTTTGAACCATGTATCAAAGGCTTTGGTTATTGCAAACCTATTATTCAAGTTGATGGCACATGGTTGTACGGGAAATATAAGGGCACACTACTCGCGGTTGTGGCACAGGATAGAAACAACAACATTTTTCCAATAACATTCGCTCTAGTTGAAGGGGAGACTGTTGGGGGTTGGAGTTTTTTCCTAAAAAATCACCGCTTATACGTTTCTCCCCAACCTAACTTATGTTTGATCTCTAATAGACACCCATCAATCGAGAGTGCATACAAGAACCTTGATAACGATTGGCAGGATCCTCCCTCAATCCATGTGTATTGCATAAGACATATCGCCCAAAATTTCATGCGGAAAATCAAAGACAAAACACTAAGGAAGAAGGTTGTGAACGCAGGGTATGCACTAACAAAGTCCACATTCAAACACTACCGTGACGAGATCAGACTGACAAACACAAATGCATTAAGATGGATTGATAATATTCATAAAGAGAAATGGACAAGGGCATACGACAATGGAGTGCGATGGGGCCACATGACAACTAACCTCGTTGAATCAATGAATTCTATTCTCAAGAGAATCTGAAACCTACCGATAACTGCCTTGGTAAAGGTAACATATTTTAGGCTCGGTGCACTCTTTAATAACAGACGTACAAAGTGGGATTCAGTAATACAATCTGGTCAGCAGTACAGTAATAGTTCAAAAAAAATCATGAAAGACGAAGCTGCCAAAGCCAGCACACATGTGGTCACAATCTTTGACCGTAATAAAGGTTGGTTCAGTCTTGTCGAGTCAATTCATCACAATGAAGGAAGGCCTAGGGGATGTTACCGAGTGGAACTGGATAGGAGTTGGTGTGACTGTGGAAAGTTTCAGGCATTTTGTATGCCTTGCTCCCATGTTATAACAACATGTTCAAAGCCGCGCCAGAACCCAACCAACTATCTTCCTGCTGTTCACCAAGTGATAAGTCTATGCAATGTCTACACGTGTAGCTTTCAAGTGGTGGCAAAGGAGGCCTATTGACCTCCATACGAAGGAGAAATTGTCTGGCATAATGATTTGATGCGAAGAAAGAAAAATGGTCGACCTAATAGCATGCTCATTCGACCGGAGATGGATGCATCAAACAAAATGGTTAGATTATGTAGTTCGTGTCGGCAACCAGGACACAATCGTACAAAATGTCTCAATGTAGGATCAAGCACAGGACCATAGTTTCTAATGTAACTGTGTTCCTTTAAATCAACAACAAATTTCATTCTATTGAAAGTATAGCTAAGCGATTACAACTAACAACAACATAAATTAAGCAAACATAACTTAATATCAAAATAACATTCCGAAAATAACAACAACATAACCTAATATCAAAATAACAATCCGAAAATAACAACAACAAACCCACATAAAACAACACAATGCATCAATTTATATAGGATATCACAACCATCAAGGTAATCTTCTTTGGTGTTAACATCATCACAAGGACACCGACATCATTTTCCACTTTTCTCCAATCACGAGTAACTCCGTTTCTCCCTGACTCCTCAACCAACCTCTCAATTTTCCTAATCTTTTCACCTGCAACAATATCTCCTTCTAGCCAGCGGTTCAATTTCCTACGCAAATGCTCCAAAGTCTGCGCGTTCCACAGTAGCACTTTCACCAGAGGCTTTGTTACTGAAAAATAAACTAGGGCACTTCTTTTCATTAGAGAAAATGTTGAAAACGATTCCTCCGATGATGACAACGATGAACGTTGATTTAGAAATGCAGACATTCTAGACTGATTTAAAAATTATGAAGAATTGAGTCTATTGGTGAAAATTATTGTGAAAAAAGAGATGAGTGTGCAACCTTATTTATAGAAAAATGAAATAGTACGAGCCACATATTAGCCGTAAATACCCTTACAAATTCATCATGAAACAAAACACAACATATAATAAAAAAATAAAAAAAAAATATGAAACAAAACACAAAACATTGAAACATCAAGAAATGAGTGTGCAGTCATATTTATAAATAAATAAAAATTTACAAAATTTATTATTTCTTCTAATTATATTTTTTTTTACAAAATAATAAAAATGAACAATTTTTTTTTAATTATATGTTTTTTTATAAAATATTAAATATTATATAAAAAAGGCCCTACAACTGAGGCACCATATGGTATGGCGACTCAATATAAGGTAGGTTTTCAATTTTTAACCCTTACGCCATATGAAATGACGACTCAGGTCAAGGTGACCTTGATCAGCCATTTCATATGGCGACTCAATGCTGAAAGGTACTAGTCGCTTTAATATTTTTTTTTTTTTTGAGTTTTATGTTTATTTGGTATTTTAATTAAAAAATAAGGTTATTTTAAAAAAAAATTCACAAAACTAACCATGTAAATTTGATATTAAAAGTTAAGGTAAATTTGCTGAATACTCATGATCACCCTGCTCAAAATACTAGCAGGGAAAAGATGACATGGAATAAATTTATCCCTCCCTCCAAATCCTTGCTAATTTGGAGATTGATGCACAACAAGTTTCAAACTGATAGAACTCGAGTCTTAGAGAGGATGTCATCTTTCTTCCATTTGCAGCTTCGGCGAGTCGAACTTAGAAACAACAACTCATCTTTTATGTTCCTGCTCAGTTGCCTCAAAAATCTGGTCTAGGCTGAGTTCTATAATCAACATCAACTGCAAACATGACTAACTTGCTGACCTATGGGAGATCTGCAATATGGCCTGCTCAGCTGCTGCTCTCCTCATCAAATGTTCTTGCAACATTTTATCGACTGTACTTACGGGACAATCCCATTATAACTTTTATTAACAACCGTGTTAAAAAATCGATTTTTACAATCGTCAAGTCATATTTCATTGCAGTATTACACAATTGATACACTTGATAAAATTTCTATACTTCACACTTTTACAAATGCTTAAACTATTCCACAAATTCAAATAAGCTCTTTCAAATGTGCATTGATCCACCAAACAAAATTCTGAATAAAAACTAAGAGGATCCCAACATTTTCTGTTTCCAGGCCAGAGGCTGAAATGATTCTGCATGACTCTTCCATCCAATCTTATGTCATATAAAAAATGTAAAAAATACCCATACATATCTATTATATTGTCCAAACTGGATACGCTCTACATCTTGTATTCCAAGAACTTCATCAACAGTTAAAATAAAGAAATGATGGACTTATTTACAAACATTTATATTCTTTTCTGTACTGCAAGAAGTAGTACAACAAAAATAGGAGAAGTTAGAAAAAGAATATACAGAATAACCTGATTCATTGAACTTTCTTGAACCACTTCATCTTTAACTTTAAGGGTGTAGTTTGTTTTCTTTTCAACAAAGGCATCAAAATAACTCTGGTAGGATGTGTCCTTTGAATAACTTGAAGAACCTATCTTCACCTTCAACATTTCCATAGCCTGCAATTTCATATCTAAGAAATATTCAATGAAAATATACTTACGGTAGTTTATATTCAAATTGTTGGGGAGTCCGAGAAACGTCGAAAGTGTCAATGAGCTAAATGTCGATGATACAAGAGACCTTGACACCACATATCCACCTAAAACCTTAAGGGTGTGTTTAATTTGAGGTAAATGGAGGGGAGGAGATATTTCTAATGAAACATGTTTGGTTTTTAGGAGGAGAGAGGAGGGGAGGGGAGCAAAACCCTCCGTAACACACTTTTTGCGTCCCTCCAAATTGAGAGATTTGGAGGGGAGGAAATATGAACTTTGATATTTAAAAAATTACTATATTTACTAAAATATCTTCAGTTTATTTTAAATTTTTAAACTATTTATTTTCTTTCGTATTATTGTGTCTTTTTTGTGTAATTTTTCTCTATTTTTTTCATCCACTTATGATAATTATTCTTCATCCTTGGATAATTTTTCATATTTTTGTACTTAATATAAATTATAATCCTTACACTTTTTTGTTTTTTTTTTATTTTTATTTTTTTTGTATTCTTCATCCTTGGATAATTTTTCATATTTTTGTACTTAATATAAATTATAATCCTTACACTTTTTTGTTTTTTTATTTTTTTTATTTTTTTTGTTTTTTCTTCTACTTTTGTTATGTATTCTATTATATTTTCTTTTTTATATATATATATATATATATATATATATATATATATATATATATATATATATATATATATATATATATATATATATATATATATATATATATATATATATATATATATATATTATAAAAATTTATTCTATTAATTTAAAAGTTGTTATCAATACATAGTTTAATTTAGATCAGAGAATTATAATTCGAATTAAGTGTACTTAATATTTTTTAATGTTATACGCTAAGTTATAACTTTTTTAATCACTCAATATTAAAAATTTTATTACCAAAAAAATATTTATGAATTTCTTATCTTTGAATATTATATCAATTATATAAGATCATAGGAATAAAAATGTAAACTATTCACAAAATTTCTCTCTTTCCCTCATGAACCAAACATATTTTTAAGAAAATTTCATTCCTTCCCCTCCATTAAAATCCCTCTCCTCCCCTCCCCCTCCCCTTGTTTGAACCAAACAGACGACTATAAGGCAATAGGATATGGGTCATCTCTCTTATAAATCCAACATCTCCCCCATAAGTGTGAGTCACCCACTTGTCTAGCCTTGATCCACACTAGGAAACACTTCCACTCCTTCACCGAGTCAACCAGACTCTGATACCACTTGTTGGGGAGTCCAGAGAGTGTCGAAAGTGTCAATGAGTCAAACGTTCATGGTTTCAACAAACTTTGACACCAATCCACCCAAAACCTTAAGGCAAGATATAGGTCATCTCTCTTATAAACCCAACATTTCCTTCATTCTTAATCGATATAGGACTTTAACACTTTCACACTTAAACACAACAAAAATCAATGTACTTTTTTTTATTAGCAAAGAAAGAAAATCACTACTATGAAAAAAAAAAAAAACAAAGCGTGCAGAAGAAAGCAATATGATAGAATTAGAGTTTGCCCTAATTCATCCTTACAAAAGAATCTTAATACTCTAATTTAAATTTGGATTTTAATAAGGCCCACCATACTTTTATGTTTTATGTTCTATTACATTTATTTTGTTTTGTTGTGATAACATTTTATTTGCTAATTTTCTAAAAATATTATTGTTGAAATACAAGAGACTAAGAGACATGAATAAACCGTGTGTTTTGAAAAGCACTACGGAGACATTATTATATATAAATAGATTACACCTAATTACATAATATAGTCGATGTGGGACTATTCTATATACAAATATTCTTAACACTTTATATATATATTTACAAATATCAACACTCCCCCTCAAGCTTGAGCATATAAGTCAAATGCACCAAGCTTGTTACATATATAGTTAGTTCTGGGGCTTCGTAGGGATTTTGTAAACACATCTGCCAATTGATCATTAGAGTTGACAAAGCTTGTGACGATGTCGCCTGACTCGATCTTCTCTCTGACAAAGTGACAGTCTATCTCAATATGTTTGGTCCTCTCATGAAAGACTGGATTTGAAGCAATGTGCAATGCAGCTTGATTATCACAAATAAGTGTCATTGGTCTTGCTTCTTCAATTTGAAGTTCCTTGAGCAACTGTTTTAACCAAATAAGTTCACATGTTGCCATTGCCATCGCCCTATACTCTGCCTCGGCGCTTGATCTTGCAACTACATTTTGTTTCTTACTTTTCCAGGATATAAGGTTTCCTCCAACAAGTACACAATACCCAGAGGTGGATCGTCTATCAATGGGTGACCCTGCCCAATCAGCATCAGAGTATCCAATTATCTGGGTATGTCTTTTATCCTCATACACAAGACCTTTTCCTGGAGCACATTTGATGTATCTCAAAATCCGGATAACAGCATCCATATGTTCCTGACAAGGGGAATTTAAAAACTGGCTTACCACACTGACTGCAAAAGAAATGTCCGGACGAGTGACTGTGAGATAATTCAACTTTCCAACCAATCTCCTATACCTTCCTGAGTCAGATAGAGGCTCCCCCTGATTGGGTAGTAATTTAACACTTGGATCCATAGGAGTATCGGCTGGTTTAGCATTTAACAAACCTGTTTCTTCCAAAATATCCATAGCATATTTCCGCTAAGAAATCACCAAACCATCTTTAGATTGGGCTACTTCAATACCCAAGAAATAACGGAGTTTACCAAGATCTTTTGTCTGAAATTGTTTCGAGAGATGTTGTTTCAACTGGAGTATTCCCTGCTGATCACTACCAGTTATGACAATGTCATCTACATACACAATAAGATAAATACACCCTTGGGGTGAGTGACGATAAAAAACAGAATGGTCAGCTTCACTACGGATCATACCAAACTGTTGTACTACAGTGCTGAATCTGCCAAACCAAGCTCTCGGAGATTGCTTAAGACCATAAAGAGACCTGTGTAGCCTACAAACCATATTCGATGACTCCCCCTGAGCAACAAACCCAGGTGGTTGCTCCATATATACTTCCTCTTCAAGATCGCCATGTAAGAATGCATTTTTGATGTCAAGTTGATGAAGAGACCAATGTCGAATGGCTGCAATGGCTAGAAGAAGTCTAACAGATGCCATCTTGGCTACAGGTGAAAAGGTATCACCATAATCCAACCCAAAAATTTGAGTGTATCCTTTGGCTACTAAGCGAGCTTTAAATCGATCAATCTTGCCATCTGGACCAACCTTCACTGTATAAAGCCAACGACAACCTACTAAAGATTTTCCATGGGGTAGAGGAACCAGTTCCCAGGTACCACTGCTTTGAAGAGCACACATTTCATCAATCATTGCTTGCCTCCACTCAGGGTGAGATAATGCTTCACCTGGAGTTTTAGGAATAGAAACAGAAGACAGAGAAGACAAACAAGTATACTGCAAAGGAGAAAGACGATGATAACATAAATCAATATAATGTGGAGAAGGATTTCGTGTTTGACGTATACCTTTTCGAAGGGCAATCGGAAGATCAGACTCAGGTTGCAGGATCGAATCCGGTGATGGCGAGAGCGTCGGAGGAGAGTCCGTAGTGACCTCAGGGACAGGTACAACTTCAGGGACAGGTACGACTACAGGGACAGGTACAACTTCAGGGACAGGTACGACAGACTTTGGGTGACGACGCTGATATGTTTGAAGTGGGCGAGTGGGGGGGTCAACCGTAGGGTTAACTAGTGGGTCAGGTTCCCTAGAATGATGGGGGATAATGACAGATGGGACTTCCGGAAGAGGTGTGGGAATACTTTCCCGTAGAGGTTCTGTAGTTACTTGGCTGGATTCGAAATATGGAACAGACTCGAAGAAGGTAACATCGGCGGATACGAGGTATCGTTGTAGAGTATGTGAGTAGCAACGATAACCTTTTTGGGATCGATGATAGCCAAGAAAGACACACTTTAGTGATCGAGCTGATAGTTTATCAAGACCAGGGGAGAGATTGTGTACAAAACACGTTGACCCGAAGACTCGAGGAGGAATTGGGTGGAGTGGAGAGTTTGGAAACAGGATTGAATGAGGGATTTTATTATTAAGGACAGACGACGGCATGCGATTTATGAGGTAACATGCTGTGAGCACCGCATCTCCCCAAAACCGGAGAGGAACATTACCATGGAGAAGTAGTGTCCGAGTGGTTTCTACGAGGTGCCGATTTTTGCGTTCGGCTACCCCGTTTTGTTGGGGTGTATGAGGGCAAGATGTTTGGTGCAAAATACCATTGGATGACATAAATGTTTGAAATTGTTGGGATAAATATTCACGTGCATTGTCACTTCTTAGGGTACGAATAGATAAACCAAATTGGGTTCTTATTTCTCGATAAAATTGTTCAAAAATAGAAAACAATTCAGACCTGTTCTTCATTAAAAATAACCATGTGCAACGTGAAAAATCATCAATAAAGGTTACAAAATACCTAGACTCAAAAGTAGACACGGTACGTGAGGGACCCCAAACATCGGAGTGGACTAAAGCAAAAGGGGACGCAACCCGTTTATTGACTCGATCGGAAAAGTGACTACGAGTATGTTTCCCTAACTGACAAGACTCACAATGTAAATTGGATAATTTAGATAAACTGGGCACCAACTTTTGTAGCTTGGGAAGACCTGGATGACCTAACTGCGCATGTATAATGAGTGGAGAATCTGTGGTGGAGCATGTGGTAGATGACGTAGAGAAGTAGTAGAGGCCTTGAGACTCACATCCGACGCCAATCGTCTGTCCCGAACTCCGATCCTGCAGAGTAACATTACTATTAGTAAAGGTGATAGAACAATTAAGGGAACGAGTTAAACGACTGACTGACAGTAAATTAAATGGGCAATTAGGTACATAAAGGACAGAAGTAACAGAGAGAGACGGTAAAATTTGAACAGTACCAATCCCTTGGGATCGGGTTTGAGAACCATTTGCTGCAGTTATAATAGGCAAGAAACCAGAGGTAGAGAGGGAGGAAAAAAGACCTTTATTACCAGTAACATGATCAGACGCACCAGAGTCAAGGACCCAAGGACCAAGAGGAGATGATTGAGAGAAGCAAACAGATGAATTACCAGTGTGTGCAACCGAAGCAGTGGAACCAGAGATCTGATTAGTCTGACACCATCTGAGAAAATCTTCGTAGCTTGGCGTAGGGTTCTGAATAGAAGGTGAAGTCTGCATAGTTTCTGAGTTATCACTTTGAGCTGCATTTACCTGGCGTGGGGGTTTGCCATGTAGCTTCCAACAACGGTCGATAGTATGTCCAAGCCGGTTACAATGGTTACACTTGGGACGAGTTTTGGAGTTGGATGACCCTCCTCGAGGACGACTCTGATTGTTGCCCAGAGATGCGAGGGCAGCAGTGTCACCTGGTGTAGCAACAGTAGATGGAGGGGAAACCGGACCAAACGCATGAGGTGTAGCCAAGCGCAACAGTTGTTCACTAACTGCATCATAGTTAGGAACAGTAGTACCTGATAAAATCTGGTTACGAACGGAGTCGAGTTCGGATGGTAGTCCTTTAAGTGCCATCACCATGAAAAATTTACTCTGTTGTTCGGCATGAGCTGTTGCGTCTTTTGCGTACGGCATGAGGGTTGCGTAACTTGCTTTCAAAGCATCAAGGTTACTCAGATAGGTTTGCATATCCATATTTTCCATCTTTAGTGTGTCGAGTTTGAGGATGACACTGTATAGACAATGAACGTCGTTGGAGAAGACTTTCTTGGCCTTTTCCCAAACTTCATAGCAAGTGGAGAAGGCTTGATACTGTGCTTGGAGGTTAGGTGCTATGGAGAACCATAACACGGTAAGGAGAGAGGCATCTGTTTTCTTCCATTTAGCAAGTTTGTCGGAGGCAACATTAGTCAATTGTGTGGTTAGGTGATCTTCATATCCCTGACCACGAAACCACATATCGACAGCACGCGCCCATATGTTATAGTTTGCTGATCCGGTCAATTTTTCACATGGGATAAGAGGAACTTTAGTAAACGAGTCTCCCATAGCTTAATGATACAAACAATCGGGGTTGCTTGCACTGGAGCACCGTTTTCCGTGAGTCGGAAAGTAAAACAGAGGCCGGATCTGGAATGGGTGAGGAGAGGTGAGTAGATCAGCAGAAAAACGGTCGGAATCAGCCGCCGGTCGCGCTGGGGCAGCAGCGGAAAAAAAGGGGCTCTGGGGCAGCAGCGGGAAACGGATCGGAAAATCAGTAATCCGTGGCGGCAAGGCGGTTACGCGCTGGGGCAGCAGCGGGAAACGGATCGGAAAATCAATCAGTAATCGGTGGCGGCAAGGCGGTTACGGGCGAGTGAGAGGCAAACCGGAGTGACAACACGGTTTGCCAAAAAAATTTTTTCTCACCGGAAGACAGTAGGTCAACCGGGTAAAATACGGCGAAGAAAGAATTGTCTCTTGTTAATAGGCTCTAGATACCATGTTGAAATACAAGAGACTAAGAGACATGAATAAACCGTGTGTTTTGAAAAGCACTACGGAGACATTATTATATATAAATAGATTACACCTAATTACATAATATAGTCGATGTGGGACTATTCTATATACAAATATTCTTAACACTTTATATATATATTTACAAATATCAACAATTATGATTTAAAAGGTTTTATATTTTTAATTTATTCTATTTTAATTTTACCATGTAATGCATAGGTTCTGCACGATAGAAAAATTTGACGAGTATGCACTTATACGATTCTACACGTGCATCCGATCACATCTCACCATAATGTTACTTTGGTATATGATGGAATACATGTGTAAAATTGTTTCATACCCGATCATAATGTTACTTTTGTATATGATCGAATACGTGTGTAAAATTGTTTTATACACGATTACTGCATTCAATAAAGGAAGAGAAATGTTGCACTGCTATTTGTCAAATCAGTTTACATAAACTCCTAAACAAAAAAGCCACCAGAAATTACCTCAAAGCTGTACATGAACTGTCTTGCTTTCTTGCCTACTTTACCATTTGGGTGAGATTTAAGCTTTTCATACATACTTCGAGCTTCATTGTGCCTGTCAATCATCAAAGTATATTTGGAAACTTTTTTATTCAGAAGAATCAACAGTCCATTAATAAACAGAAAAACACATACACCTCTATGGTTGTTTATGAACGAAGTCCTAGTTGTAGCAGACTGGCAGTGACATATTCATAGAATTTAAATTGTTTACTGGTACTACAGGTTGTATCAACTAAAAGTTGCAGTTCAATTTCAAGAGACTACAAGGTGTATAGATAAAATAAAGTTGAGTTTCAGCGAAAAATGATAGTATTCCCCCCCTTCCCCAGTCTAAGATTTCACCACTTTTTGAGTAGTAGCATTTGCGAAAGCCCATCTAAGTCATCAATATATTTTACTATGAATCTTGTCCCTGGCATACTTTGATGGAAAAAACCGCACATCAAGAACAAAAAATAGAAATCCATAAATAAACACAAATAAAATGAGAATGACACAATTTACATGATTCAACACCTATTGTTCACATTCATAGAAGCACTTCAACAATTATATTCACTATCTCAGAACAAGATTGCAACTTTTGGGTAAACTTGAAAATCCATTCCAAGTGGTTACAATACCAAGTATCCCTACACGAGGATTACAATAGACATCTCCCTATACAAGTTATCAATCACAGATGCTCAATTATCTTAGACTTGGGATGTCTGTACAACTTTCAAAGATTAGCTTTTCAGTAGTCAAAGAAATATTTCCAAGAACATGAGGTCAACTTATTTGAGACACCGAAGGAGTTTTAAGAAAGAGGTCCAAGGCTCAAACCTTGAAAACGAACATAACCACTAACTTAATAAAATTTACCTATTAACCTTGAAAACTAGCAAAACCACTAACTTAATAAAATTTACCTATTTGAATCCAAATTTCTGATTTAATCTTGACTGTGGTAACAATGTTGGAGACAACAAGGCAACACAAAAGAAACCTATTGAACCAAACACATTGCAATATTCTGACCTATTTTAGAAACTACTAAACTATTTAACCTTTTAAGTATCATGGTGCACAAACCTGAAACACCTACCTTGCATATGTAAATTACAGTGTCTTCAATCCTATGTAGAACACAACATGGTAGATTACATGAGAATTTTAGATATGTCAAGAACATTACAAACATACCTAGTGAGGGAGTCTAGACAAATCGCCCACTGTAAGGCTGCTAACCCATGGAGCTCACTCTGCACAGACATGTTCAATCTCAAACGTATATTCCTCCATATATATGTTTTCCTAGTTTCCCTACTAGAGTATATGTTATGCATGACATTCAAAAATTCAAATATTAAACATAATGTAATGCTCAATAAATCTGAAAATAATTTTAAAAGGACAATCAAAATACCCTTTTGGTTTGAAGAAAAAAAAGTTCATCTCATTCCACTGGTGCTTTTTGTTGTGTCTAGTCTACCTTCATCAAGCATGATATTAGGTTCTTACTGAAAAGATAGACATGCATTCCCCCACCTCTAACAGAGTTATAAATAGCACCCTGGAGCGGCGCTATCCTGAGATTCCCTCCCGGAGCGGCACGCATTTCAGTTTGGGTACGAAAATACTTTTTTGCTCTTAAAAAATTTTAAGTCGGAAAGCCTATTTCAGATTTTACGCTTTGCATTTCTCCATTGCATGTCTCTCTTTGCTGCTTCTCTCTTTGCATTTCACATTTCTTCTGCTTTCCCTAAACCATTGCTGCTCCTCCTCCACTTCAACGCTACTTGCCCTAAACCAACGCTGGTTCAGGTTAGTTCTGTCTATTCTTCTTCTTTTCTTCTTCTTCTTCTCTACTTCTCTATTCTGTTTCTCTGTTTCTGTTTCAAAATCTTCTTCTTCTATATTCTTCTCTTCTTACTTTTTCTGTTTTTCTTCTTGTCTATTCTTCTCTATTCTTCTTTTCTTTGTTTTAAAATCTTCTTCCTTTTAAAATTCTGTTTTATACAGTATTCACGTTTTTCCTTTCATTTCTTCTTTTTCTTTTTTTCTTTCAAATTCTGTTTTAAATTTTATCATTGCGTAATTTGTTTGGTTTTATATTAAATATATGTTTTATACATTATTCATATATCTAGTCCAAAAAATAGTCAAATAGCGGTTATTCCGCTACACGCTATTCCGTTGTTCTATTTTTGGGATCGACCAATAACTCTGATATCTAAAAAATTGGCATGTAAGTGATTGAAATATAAGCATGTACCTCGAAGGGTAGTTTATCAATAACCTTCTCATAGTAGGGTAATGCCGCTTTCAGTTTTCCCGCTTCCATTAACAAGTCCCCTTTGTTCAATTCCTATGGAATTCATGAAATAAAATTAAGTTTGAATTACTAAGCAACAGATAAACAATTAAAGAGGTTAATAACTAATTTAAAAGCAATAGCAACTATCTAGATAGAGCCTTGCACATTATTTTTGAAATTGAACAGTATAATTTTTAAAAAACAAATAAAATAAAGAGAGGTGATCATCTTAAGCCATCAATTTCTTTTTCCTATAAAGTATTAAATATACTCACTTGCATACAAATATTGCAGAGAAGAAAAAAATACACATGCTTTAAAGAAGGAAATGATAGCAGTAGTATTTTGGGATGCGAATAGATATGTTTACCTCCTGGCACTCGGCTTTTAGCTTTGGATCAATATTTAATCCATGTTTCTTCTTGTAAGCAGCAAGTATCTGCTTTGTGCGCTCTTCTTTTGCAGCTTTTTCTTCTGCAGTCTCTAAAACTTCTCCAGGACGTATAACTCTTCCACCTCCAAACTGAATAGGCCAAGAACAAAAAAAGGTAAATTTGAAACAGATATCATATCGGTATCACAAACAAGTGGACTATAACGGTTCATTTTGCAAGATGATTTCGCAAATACTAAATACCATACTGTTTTTGAAATATTGTTAGGTCTAGGAAAAACACCCCATGTAGAAACTTTTGGCTTGTACAAATCTGATTCATCTTCAGCAGTCTGTTCAGGTTGCGGAGCTGTTGTTTTTGCACCGAACTTGGTTTTGTCTCCGACGATAAGTTCCACCTCAGGTAAGTCACAATCTAAGTAGGGGTCTGAAATAGGAACCAGTCCAGGCGGCAATCCCCTTCTCTTTCGCTTATCCGCAAAATCAAGCCCCACAAAATCAAGCTTTGAAACAGACAATTTTTCTTTCTTACCAACACTACTGTCATTCATATTTTCTCCCCATGTCCTCTCACTCCCTCCCTGTAATCCTATAAATAAATTCAGATAAAGGTCATAAAGTGATATTGTTTAGCATAAACACATGTTATATCAGTGCTTATCTATAATGCTTATCTATAAACTGTGTTTAGATCATTTATAAGCTGTTTCAATAAGCTATTCTGAAGAACTTGCGGTAACAAGTTGAAAACAGTTTGCGAACTATGTTATGACCTATTTTCATAAATTTCTTAAAAAGCTTCACAGGCATTTATACAAACAGATAACCTCCAACATATCATAAGTTGTTTTCATAAATAAAGTGCATCAGAATTAGTTCAAATAATTCAATTATTACCTTGATCAGTTTCACTAGCAACAGCTCCTTTATTCTGCCTATTCTTTTCAGCTGTCTCCATTGCAATCTTTAACCAAACTGGCACATCCTTTTCCCCTCCATCAACAACATTTGGATTCTCTTTAACCGAATTGTCTTTGCCACCACTACTTTTCTCAATTCCCAAACCAGAGTTAGATTTCATCTCACCCCCTCCCTGTAATCCTATAAATAAATTCAGATAAAGGTCATAAAGTGATATTGTTTAGCATAAACACATATTATATAAGTGCTTACCTAAAAACTGTGTTTAGATTATTTATAAGCTATTTCAATAAGCTATTCTGAAGAGCTTGCGGTAACAAGTTGAAAACAGTTTGTGAACTATGTTATGACCTATTTTCATAAATTTCTTAAAAAGCTTCACAGGCATTTATACAAACAGATAACCTCCAACATATCATAAGTTGTTTTCATAAATTAAGTGCATTAGAATAAGCTCAAATAAGCCAATTATTACCTTGATCAGTTTCACTAACAACTCCTTTATTCAGCCTATTCTTTTCAGCTGTCTCCATTGCAATCTTTAACCAAAGTGGCACATCCTTTTCCCCTCCATCAACAACATTTGGATTCTCTTTAACCGAATTGTCTTCGCCACCACTACTTTCCTCAATTCCCAAACCAGAGTTAGATTTCAACGATTCTTTATAAGCTTTAGCTTTTTCAAACGCGAGCTTTACACGATCAACCGGAGCAACTTTTGGATTCTCTTTAACCGAATTGTCTTCGCCACCATTGCTTTCCTCAATTCCCAAACCAGAGTTAGATTTCATCGATTCTTTATAAGCTTTAGCTTTTTCAAACGCGAGCTTTACACGATCAACCGGAGCAACAATTGGATTCTCTTTAACCGAACTGTCTTCGCCACCACTACTTTTCTCAATTCCCAAACCAGAGTTAGATTTCCTCTCACTCCCTCCCTGTAGTCCTATAAATAAATTCAGATAAAGGTCATAAAGTGATATTGTTTAGCATAAACACATGTTATATAAGTGCTTATCTATAAACTGTGTTTAGATCATTTATAAGCTGTTTCAATAAGCTATTCTGAAGAGTTTGCGGTAACAAGTTGAAAACAGTTTGCGAACTATGTTATGACCTACTTTCATAAATTTCTTAAAAGGCTTCACAGGCATTTATACAAACAGATAACCTTCAACATATCATAAGTTGTTTTCATAAATTAAGTGCATTAGAATAAGCTCAAATAAGCCAATTATTACCTTGATCAGTTTCACTAACAACAACTCCTTTATTCTGCCTATTCTTTTCAGCTGTCTCCATTGCAATCTTTAACCAAACTGGCACATCATTTGCCCCTCCATCAACAACATTTGGATTCTCTTTAACCGAATTGTCTTCGCCACCACTAGTTTCCTCAATTCCGAAACCAGAGTTAGATTTCATCGATTCTTTATAAGCTTTAGCTTTTTCAAAGGCGAGCTTTACACGATCAACCGGAGCAACTTTTGGATTCTCTTTAACCAAATTGTCTTCGTCACCACTACTTTTCTCAATTCCCAAACCAGAGTTAGATTTCATCGATTCTTTATAAGCTTTAGCTTTTTCAAATGCGAGCTTTACACGATCAACAGGAACAACTTTAGGATTCTCTTTAACCGAATTGTCTTCGCCACCACTACTTTTCTCAATTCCCAAACCAGAGTTAGATTTCCTCTCCCTCCCTCCCTGTAATCCTATAAATAAATTCAGATAAAGGTCATAAAGCGATATTGTTTAGCATAGACACATGTTATATAAGTGCTTATCTATAAACTGTGTTTAGATTATTTATAAGCTGTTTCAATAAGCTATTCTGAAGAGTTTGCGGTAACAAGTTGAAAACAGTTTGCGAACTATGTTATGACCTATTTTCATAAATTTCTTAAAAGCTTCACAGGCATTTATACAAACAGATAACCTCCAACATATCATAAGTTGTTTTCATAAATTAAGTGCATTAGAATAAGCTCAAATAAGCCAATTATTACCTTGATCAGTTTCACTAACAACTCCTTTATTCTGCCTATTCTTTTCAGCTTTCTCCATTGCGATCTTTAACCAAACTGGCACATCCTTTTCCCCTCCATCAACAACATTTGGATTCTCTTTAACCGAATTGTCTTCGCCACCACTACTTTCCTCAATTCCCAGACCAGGGTTAGATTTCATCGATTCTTTATAAGCTTTAGCTTTTTCAAACGCGAGCTTTACACGATCAACCGGAGCAACATTTGGATTCTCTTTAACTGAACTGTCTTCGCCACCGCTACTTTTCTCAATTCCCAAACCAGAGTTAGATTTCCTCTCACTCCCTCCCTGTAATCCTATAAATAAATTCGGATAAAGGTAATAAAGTGATATTGTTTAGCATAAACACATGTTATATAAGTGCTTATCTATAAACTGTGTTTAGATCATTTGTAAGCTGTTTCAATAAGCTATTCTGAAGAGTTTGCGGTAACAAGTTGAAAACAGTTTGCGAACTATGTTATGACCTATTTTCATAAATTTCTTAAAAAGCTTCACAGGCATTTATACAAACAGATAACCTCCAACATGTCATAAATTGTTTTCATAAATTAAGTGCATTAGAACAAGCTCATATAAGCCAATTATTACCTTGATCGGTTTCACTTACAACAACTCCTTTATTCTGCCTATTCTTTTCAGCTGTCTCCATTGCAATCTTTAACCAAACTGGCACATCCTTTTCCCCTCCATCAACAACATTTGGATTCTCTTTAACTGAATTGTCTTCGCCACCACTAGTTTCCTCAATTCCGAAACCAGAGTTAGATTTCATCGATTCTTTATAAGCTTTAGCTTTTTCAAACGCGAGCTTTACACGATCAACAGGAACAACTTTTTTAGCTTTAATTGAATTAATAACTTCAGAAGATTCCTCGCTGTCGGGGTTCATAGCACAACACAACTTCGAAGATTTTAGCCTCGTCGGAGGAAGCATCCGCGAGGAAGAGAACCATGAAAATGAAGATTGTAATAACAAAGCCATTAGAAAAATTAAAATAATAGTAGTATTAACAGTATATACAAAACAAAATATTTATCACCACTCAGAACTAAGCATGAACGTGTAACTGTGTTGGATTGCTACTCTTAAGGTTAGATAAATCGGGTTTGGACTCCGATCCGGATCCAGATTCGAATTCGGAACTCTGATTCGGGTTATGGGCTTTTGGTATTGGGCCTACAGAATCCGGTCCAATCTTTTTAATTTTAGATTTTTATAAATAAATAAAAAAGGTTCTAGGGTTTTGTAGATATAAGAAGGATCCTTATCTCGTTGCGTTGTTCCTTTCTTCTTCACGGCGAGGCTTACCCTGTGTTCAATATCACCGATTTCACAAAGGTACTCTCATTGCTGCTACACTATTTCATTTGACTGATGATTTTTCGTTTCCTTGTATCTTGTTATTGGTTATTGTGTTGGTTTTTCAACCCTTCAGCATTTGACCTAATTACTACGCCTTGTGTTGATTTCGATTTCGCCCAATTTTTCAATTTTTTTTATCAGTTTAGTATGTAAGGGTTCTATTTTTTCCAAATCAATCAATTTAGTTGTATATTGAGCTTTGAGTTACTGATTTGCTTTAGGGTGCTTAACTGTTAATATTTTTAGTTGTTTCTGTGCGGAAGAAAATTATTGGAGACCTGAACTGAGGGGCTGTTTCCGATTTTTGTGTTTTATGAGAAGTTCTGTTCTTCTTTCAGATTGGATTCTATGTTTTTCTGTGATTTGTATTGGCTATTGTTTTTGTGATATATGATGTTTTGGTTTTCTTTTATGGAATACGGAATATGCGTGTGTAAGCTGAATTTAGCTTCTTTAACTTGAGATTGTTGCTCTTTTATATGATTTAGTTGATTTCACACTGTGCAAAATACTAAGTCAATCACGGACCACATTTCTAGCTTATGTTAGATAAGTCTTTGCTTGCGATCCTTTAGTGCAGTGTTGTCAAATATCCACCATGTATATTTCAGTTATACAACTTACTTTATGTAGCTCTTTCCACTCATTAGTCCTTATTGAGTTTTGCTACTAATAACTTCGCATCTTTTTAAGTGTAAAATGGTTTAGTGCTATGAAATTTATGTTTTTAGTTTTTGTACCTTTTACTCAGATGAATCGTGAAAAGTTGATTAAGATGGCCGGTTCAGTTCGAACCGGTGGAAAGGGTACCGTCAGAAGGTATTTGTGTAACCTAACTTTGGTCTTTTCTAATATAACTTGGTTGTCATATTTGTGCTCTTAATAATATCTGTCATTTGTTATTGGAGTCTCTAGCCATATGTTGATATGAGCTTTAGATCTTATAAAAAAATCAATTATTTCCCCATTTTCTTGATTATGCATTTATATTTCATTTTAATAATTTGTTTTGTTGTGAATCCATAGTGCTTTTGTTAACTTTAATCATCTCTTGATGGTCTGCCTTCTGCTTACCTTAGAAAGAAGAAGGCTGTCCACAAAACAACAACTACAGATGACAAGAGGCTTCAGAGCACCCTAAAGAGAATTGGGGTGAATGCCATCCCTCAAATTGAGGAAGTCAATATCTTTAAGGATGATGTTGTCATCCAGTTCTCAAACCCGAAAGGTAATAACAGTCCACAATGTTTAAGCTTTGATACTTTTATTATGACAAACTTTATATATATTTTATATATTGCTTTTCAGATTTTGCTCACTATTAAATTTCATTGTTTTCTTTTCAGTTCAAGCATCCATTGCAGCTAATACATGGGTTGTTAGTGGTGCCCCTCAAACCAAGAGTAAGATACATCAGATTATCTGGATTATCTCATTTTATTTTAGAGTACACTAAGGCATTGCTTACCACAGTTTATGAACAACCTTCTATATGTGTTGCTTGTTATTTGGCATATTATTTGCTGTTGTACGAAATTAAAATATTATTTTCCCTTCTGCAGAGTTGCAAGACATACTTCCTAGCATTATCCACCAATTAGGTATGTGCTTTCAACTTTTTTCCAAGGTGTGTTTGGTGTTTCTTGTCCTTCCCATCTTAACTGTTTTTGAATATCATTAAAATACAGGGCCGGATAATTTGGAAAACCTGAAGAAGATAGCTGAGCAGTTCAATAAGCAGGTTCCTGAAGCAGGTGCTGGCACAGCCACAGCACAAGAAGAGAATGATGATGATGATGTTCCAGAGCTTGTCCCAGGAGAGACTTTTGAGACGGCTGCTGAGGAGTCCAAGGATAGTTAGAGTGTTAATTGTGTTTTTTTTTTCAACAAAGAAAATCTTGATTTTCAATTTTAAGTATTTTAGGTTGTTTTGTCCTACTGTCATATACTTTATTTAAACAGTCTGAATACTTGAATTTAATCTGTTTTCCTTTGTCTAATTCAAGTATTACTTCTATGCTCACGATTTCTACCATATTCTATGTATTTCTGAAAGAGACATGAGAATTAAATTTCTTAAAATTTCATTCAGTACAGCACAGCACCTTGTGAATCTGATTTGCAATAATGAATTCACAAGGATGTATTAGGGTTTTAAATCTTGTTAAAAATGGTCATATCTGATAGAAACACTTGAGCGAGTATATATAATAGAGTAGTTGAGGCCTTAAGTTGCATTTTTAAAGTATGCTTGTGTTTTCAGAAAGACATGCTACATGCAAAGATAATCTAGGTTTAGGTATAAATTTGAATTAGTAAATGAGTCAAGTAGGAAATTCTGTGTTTTAATATACTTTCTGTTTTAAGTATGATCGTTTCCATTTAATAAATGCAAGATTTAAATTACTCTAAAACAGGATAAACCTCGGTTAACCACAAACTTCGATGAAATTAACAACATATTAACTCAAAGATATTGAATCTTATTATACTTTTGATAAATAGGATTATTCTAATGTTATGTTTGTTGTTGGAGAGAGTGATCATGATCGTGTCCTCTTATTCTTCATCTCTATTTTTATTTCTATCTCCCTTTTATCAAGGATATGGGGTTTCTTTTTCCTATTTTGCCTTTTTCCATGAAAGTTTCGAGGGTTCTCAACATCACGCCCTCCTAGCTGTTTTCAAATAATTTGGATTTTATCAAAACCTTTGAGATGGTCTGTGAGGACCTTATATGTTACTTCCACTATAAGAGTCTTTTTCACTTTTTACACCACTAGACCGACGAAGGGTAGATGGTGTCCTTAGATGGTCTGTCGGAGAAAGTCATTTTTGCGTCCAACTACAATCACTACAAATATTGGAAGGACATGTTTGTTCATGTGAGGGGGCGAGATGACTCTCTCAGAGTATTATGGGCTAATGGCGTCCCCTTTTTTCCCCTATCTTGGACGAATGATTATGTGGTGATCATAAGATATGGCAACGAGTGCCTTACCCTTGAGGAGGCGAGGATTGTTCACCTCCTAAGAAAGTTTAAAGTTATGGGCACGCGTACAATAGCTAAGCTACGATTAAAGGATGGAAACAATCTCGCCATTTACTTAGGTAAATTTCTCATACCTTTTCTTCCTTTTTTTCGTAGGTATTTTTAGACAGCATTTGTGACCTTTGTACATTGTTTTCATATCATGTGTTAAGGATGTCTGTTGAGTAGAAAATAAAAAGATGGGAGAAGATCTAGGTTGTCCGTGGGGAGATTGATAGTCCCTAGAGTCACCCGGAGGACTTCAGCGTCAAAGGGAAGAAGAGGCAAGTCGAGGATCTAATTCCAGGTTTGGCCAATACAAAGGCTCAAAGGTTAGAAGAGGGTTATTCCCCCACTGTTGATACCGCCTTTCCATCTTTTGAGAAGGCGAACATGCAAGCGCCTTCTACAGGCGAGGCTTCCCCACCTCTTGCTACTTTGTGGAGTGATGTCAATTTTGACACTCTCCAATTCAAGAGTTCTCACCTTCATTTCTCCAAGAAGTTTCCTGCTGACTACCACACTCTTCATTCTAAATTGACTTCTGCCATTGTAAGCATGAAGGATACCCTTTTGTTGAGGGTGTTAATGTTGTAGGATGTTGACCAGAAGAGGCAAGATAGAGATGAGAAAGAGATGGAGGAAAAGCTTCATATTGTGTTAATGCTTATAATGAGAGTCAGTGGCTGTTGAAGACTCTTCAGAAAGATAGTGAGAAATGGGAGCAGAAGTTGGGAGATGTGAAGGCCAAGGTTGAAGAGATCTCCAATAAGAATGAGTCCTTTCAGGAATTCATGTATTCCGCCCTCGTTCTCCAACAGGAGTTAAAGGCAGAGGTGTCAGAGCTTACTGATGAGGTGGTGTCTACTTCTAGCGTCTACTTTGGTCGTACCAAAGAGTGGGTTTCCTTCCTCTATCAGCAGTTGGACCTGATTAAGATGGACTTCCTTAAAATTGTCCATGATGGTCAACTAGTGCATGAAGAGATGACAATCTCTATAGGGCCTAAAGATTATGCTCCCACTGAGGACGCTTAAGACGATGGCGGGGAGACTGTGGCGGATGACTCTCGTGCTTCTCAGCTGGAGGATGCCATAAGGGAGGACGCCATTCAGAAGGAGAATTAATGGCTTAGGTTTTCTTTGTAATGTTTATTGGCCCTTGATGGCCTTTTTGTGACATTTATTTGCTGTAAAGCGCTCATTAGGGCATCTTTTAAATTGATCGATGGTTATTTTCCCTCCATCTTCATTAATGTATGTTTGTTTTTTTGGCCATTGATTAGGGGCATTTAATACCATCACACTCTTACGTTTGTCGCCCCTATAAGGGGGAACATTAAGGACCACTTGTGAGAGTCCTATGATTCGATAAATTCTAAAGATTGCAAAGGTTTCTACCTTCCGATCCTCTCCTAGGGCGGCGAGGATCCTATTTAGGGGATCCAACATTTTAATATTCTCTTAGAGCGGAAAGGGAATCCAGCGTTTTGATCGTCTTTTAGGACAAAAAGGATTTCAGTTAAGGATCCAAAGTTTTAATCTCCTCTTAGGGCAGAAAGGATACCACTTGGGAATCCAGCATTTTG